TGTTTCGCTTAATCCCGATCCTATGCTCACAGTTTGATCCGGATACTCCTCATTAACTACCACTGCCTCCACGAGGTCACTGCTTATCTTTTTGACGGGATTTGCAGGCACCTCGAGCTGTGGTTGCTATTGAATTTTAAGCTTATGACTGGACATGTAACACATCCTCGCAGCTCGCTGACTTCCCAGGATTTGCTTTACTCCGGACTTCGTAGGGAATTTCAAGCATTGATGATACGTTGAAGGTACTGCTTTCATTTCGTAAATCCAGGGTGTTCCCAAGATAACATTATAAGCAGCCGGACGATCGAACACAGTGAATTCGACCATTTTGACTATGCCCTCTGCGGATACCGGGAGCACAATTGTTCCTAGTGACATTGAAGTTTCGCTAGTAAAGGAAACCAAAGGAAATGGTGGCCCCTTTATATCTTGCTTCGATATCCCCATTCTTGTCAGAGTATCGAGGAAGATTAAATCCACCGAACTCCCAGTATCAATGAGAACCCGAGATACTTCGCAATGCGCAATATCGAGTGTTATGACCAGAGCATCATCATGTGGTTTGTCAAGTTGACTTGTTTCGCTTTCGGAGAATGTTACTTCGGGTAATTGTTCCTCAGTAAGTCTGGCCTTCTTGATTATCGGGGGGGTTGCCCTCCGTTCGTGTTGCTTGATTGCACTAATGGAGTCTCGAAAGAGCTTGGATCCTCCCATAATCACCTGGATTCGCTTCTTCGGTCCTTTAGGAACATCAGGGGACTGGATCCTTTTGGTTTTTTTTGCTAGGAGGAGACGGTTCCTCTGGTTCTACTGTTTGCTCCGACGGATGAGTTGGCTCGAGCTCCGAAACGTCGATTTCGGTTATTTCACCGGATGCGAACTTGGCAGCCAGTAACCTTCCTAGAGCCTTGCAATCTTTCGTAGCATGCCCATTAACTTTGTGGATCTCGTAGTAGGCGTTTGGGTCACGAATCCACTTGTTACTCGGGAAAGCGCCGTTTTTGTTCTTTGGCGAGAAGGATTGCTTCGCAGGTGAATTCTTCGGAGAACCTTTTGGCTCCTCCCGATCCACTGAGAATGTCCCAGCTCCGGGGTTTCGAGTTTCAGTTTGAACAAGTTTCTTCTGCGGAGGAAGTTGAGCAGGTTTCGGAGCTGCTTTTAACTTTTTTGCTAGAGCAGCCCGCTTTTCCTCCGCGTTTATCCAGTTCGTTGCCCGATGTAGGGCGTCCTGAATAGTGGCTGGTCGGTTAACAATCAACTCTTCTCGGAAGCGGGATTCGTGCCAAAGACCGTTCTTGAGTGCAGCAATAGCTGCGGAATCAGACAGATTTGGGATCTGGACCATAATCTCTTTAAAAGAAGTGATGTAAGTCTAGAGCGGCTCTCCGGCTCCTTGTGAGAGGTTCCATAGCTGGGCATCAGTTACATCGCTCTTGATGAAGTATCCGTACTGCATGATGAAAGCAGTGGATAGTTGCTTGAAGCTATCGATCGATCCTTCTTCTAGTTGAGTAAACCAGGTCAAAGCCGGCCCGGATAAGTTCTCGGCGAAGAGCTTGCATAAGCCCGCGTCTACTTCGTTTGGCTCCAAATGCACCCGACCTGCGGTGACCTGAAAAGACGCTAAAAATTCTTTGGGATCTCCCTTACCATCGTACCCCGGAAGTTTGACCTTCCTTTGGTCTTGAATTCGCAGGGCTACAATTCGTGGAGTAAAAGGAGTCCTTCTCGTCTCCTCGATCACTCTATCGACTTCGGGAGCCGAACTTGTGGCTTGATGAACCTTCGAACTCATTTCCCGAATCTGATTTTGCAAGTTCTGGATTTCCGGGTTGACTGGAAGGCGAGGTGGATTGGACTCGGTTTGAGGATAATGCGGGGTGCTACCAAGATGGATGGGGAGAGGAGTTCTGGCTGGAACAAAGGGACCGCTGGCTGAGTTTTGAGGTGCTTGAGTATGACGGGACCCATCTCCAGGGTCACTCTGAGAGCCCAGAGGCAAAGAAGATGGGAGCACGTTGCTCGGGGAAACAAGCCTAGGATCCTGAACCTCCGAAACGTTTGGACCATGAAAATCCAAATGTCCGCGAGGTCCGCTGGTCCGCAAAGTTCCTGCAAGAATAGTATCAACCCGATCCGCATAAGCATTATGGGCTGACCTGATTTCGGAACAACTTGCTGTGAGGACTGCGATTTGGCTGCTGCTTTGCTCTTCAAACGCTGAAAGCTTCTCAGACAACGCAGTGGTGGCGAGCTGCTGCTGGTCGGTCTTCTCGGACAGATCTTTCAGCAATTTCTTGATTTCGTCGAGGACTGAAGCCGGATCCGCCACGTCTGACATCTTCTCGATTGATATTCTGGAGTAAAAGACTAGAATCCCCTCCTTCTAGCGCCAAATTGTGGATGCCGGAATCCGCAATGCAAATTTTGTGATCTGTATCGGGTTGTCTAGCTTTGATAATTCGAATAACAATCGTAAAAAGAAACGAAAGAGTAAAGTGTATATCTCTGTTTATTGCTTAAGAATTTGTCCCCCCTTACAATGGTTTTCGTTTTCTATTTATAATTACACGATTCGAAACCGAAGTCGTTCATCAAGCCGCAGATCTCGCCCTCATCAATGTTTCCGTTTCGAATCTTCCGGATCTCGCAGATTCCGTGCGATCCGCCTTTCATTTAATTCACGAGATCCCGACGTTTCACTCGAGCTGGGCCGAACTTCACTGGGCCGCTCTTTTCGTCCCCTGAACCGGGCTAACGGCCCACTTCGTTTCATTGTTCTACCATTTTTCTGGGCCGGATCCGATTTGCGAGATCCAACACCAACATTGGTCACGTCACTTAGTAACTTTGAAATTTTCTTATGATTTATAGTAATCTTAATCTAATAAAAAAAAAAACTTATGATAAACAGAGAGTGAAGATTTGGAAAAAGTTTTACGTGATCTACAGCTTCTTTTTCCTACGGAAGATCATAGTCCACTTCTTCACTTTCTTCTTTTATTGTGTCGTCCTTCCTACAAGTGTCTTCCTTCCCGAAGTCGGAATTCCGACTTGGTCAACTATATATGGTCCTTCTATCATCACCCTCTTCGGTATTATAGCCACTCCAAGGTTAGTAGTACAATTACGTCCGAGTTCCTATAGTGTCCACATTTATTCACTCTATACATTACCTTAATTAAAAATTTACTATGAATTATTTGTATATGTGTAGATCATTCTACCTCGTGGTTTTTTGGGTCTTATTCGAAAATGTAATGGCTATGCATCGGACCAAAGGAACTTTGATTGGCTTATTTGAAGGAGGAAGAGTCAACGAATGGGTTGTCACTGAAAAATTGGGAGGTACTCTTAAGAGTAAGCTGCTTACCGGAAATGGACGAATTCTCAAAAGGTAAACTAATCAAAACGAAAGCAAAAGAAATAGACATCAACTAGTTCACATAATTCTTGCATAATCATTCAGTCAAGTGTATTGGTATAGTGATTTATTCGCAATAGACTAACAAAAATATTTTTGCATGTAAAATGTTACTGTGTTCTATTAAACGTTACCAACATATCATTTAAATAGTAATTAAAATTAAAAATTTGATAAAGAAATATAACCGAAAGACGCGACTGTAGATGTCATATATAGTAAAAGTTGCAATCGTTTGTCAAATATATTAAATGTTGCAACGGTTCGTCAAATAAACTAAAGATTATAACTGTTCATAAAACAAAACCAAAAGTTGCAATAATTTGTCAAATAAACCAAATGTTGCAACAGTTTAATTTTTTTTTTTTTTGTCATCCGAAATTAATTAGAGCTCAAAATAGCCATTCCTGAGGAATGTTGTTTACATATGTGATACTATTACGGTTTAATTAAACGGTTAGAATTTTATTTAGATACATTTTAGTAACGAAAATTGAAATAATAGTTTATAAAAAGTTACACAGAAAGACGTGATTGTAGCTAATTAAATCTTATAACGGTAACGGTTTATAAAATAAACCAAGAGTTGCATTTGTTCGTGAAATAAACTAAATGTTGCAATGATTCAACTAAACGGTTGCAACCATTTAAGAAAAGTTACGATAAAAAAAACGCAACCGTAGAAGATATTTATTCGGATCGCAACTTTCTACAAAAATTCAACCATAAAATATATATTTTTAGTTTTAATAAAATTAAATGTTTTAACGATTTACAAAATAAATCAAAAATTACAATTGTTCGTTAAATAAAGTAAATGTTGCAATGGTTCAACTAAACAATCGTAATTGTTTATGAGGTGTTACGATAAAAAGATGCAATCGTAGAAAATATTTATTCAGATTGCAACTTTTGAAAAAACAACCGTAAAATATATATTTTAGTTAGAAAACCAAAATTTAAATCTATATATATGAGATGTAATTTTAAATGAATAGATGCTATGAAGACAAAACCGTCAACTGAAAAGATACGACTGTAATTGAACAAATATAACTGTTAAAAAAACCGTAAATATGTTAACGAAGAGATGCGATAAAAAGACACAATCGTAAAAAAATAACCGTAAATATTTCAACGAAAAGATGCGATAAAAAGACACAACCGAATAAAAATAATCGTAAATATTTAAACGAAAGGTTGCGATAAAAAGACGTAACCATTCATAGGTACAAAAAACATTTATTGAAATTGTTATTATATATAGATTTTATCTGTAAAAATATGTTAACGAAGAGATGCGATGAAAAGACACAACCGTAAAAAAATAACCGTAAATATTTCAACGAAAAGATGCGATAAAAAGACACAACCGAATAAAAATAACCGTAAATATTTAAACGAAATGTTGCGATAAAAAAAACGCAACCGATACAAAACGCATTTATTGAAATTGTTATTATATAGATTTTATTCCATAAACTTACATTTCTTCAAATTCTATGAATTTGATCAAAATGTTTTTTTTTGGGTCCAATATAAAACCTACCTGTAAAGTGACAAAGCCAAAGCCCAACACGGCAAATAACTGTAGTCAATTGCTTCATCTCCGGTGTGCCGCCGATTTCGTTTCTCGCTCTCCAACGCCGTCCTTCCGCTCTTTCCCTCGCCTGATTACGTCCTGCCACATGTCTCTCTCGTCGCACTCCACCGTGCCTACGGTTTCCACGGTCACCATATCCTACTCAGAGCTCAAGGTAAACCTAAGCCAAACTCTTCTTATTTGTCTTCTCTGTGTTCTGTTTCGTCTTCTAAACTCTTCTCTCTCTTTCAATCACAGGAGAGCAACATAGATTTGTCTGCGAGGATTGAAGAAGGATTTGGACCTAATGGACTTGGAATTCTCTCTGTTAAAGATGTATGAATCATCACTTCTTATAACCAAAGTTGTTTGCTTTGTTCTTAATCAGTTAAATATGTATTAAAGTACATGACTTTATTGAATTTGTTCATGTAATTTTATATTATATAGTTCTTTTCTCTCATCAAGATTATGAAAGTTGTCACCTTTATGTGTTGATTATGAATAAAGATTTCAACTTTGTGTGTGTTTTAGGTTCCTGGATACTCTGCTTTACGTCAGAATCTACTTCGGCTTGCACCTAGGTGAATGCTTTTGATTGATTCAATTGAAAGATTAGATTTTTAATCAATATAGCTCTCAAGGATTGTTTGATTCTTATGTAAAGGTTAGCTGGTCTTCCTGAAGAGGTTAAGAGGGAGCTTGAAGATGCTCATAGTAGGTGAAAATACGATTCTTTTGTTCTACTTTGTTACTTAATGATCTTCTTTTCCATTTTCCAATTCGTAATCGTTTACTTTTTTTTAGGTATAATTTTGGTTGGAGTCATGGCAAGGAAAAACTTGAATCCGGGAAGCTTGGTGAGCTTATATAGACTTTGTTTTATTACTGTAGTATTGCTTCAGAACTGAAACGAGATTTCATAGTTGCTCCTGGATAAGAATTTCAAATATTTGGCTAAATAAAGATTTCCATTCAACATCTTGTTTGGCTCGGTTATTTATTAGTAGATAACCACAAGAACTTATTGAACTATACTATGGATTCGGTCCTTGAATACAACAAGAAGTTTAAATGTATTTTTTTCTGTGACAGTATTATATCTCTGGCCTGCTCTTATGAAACTACTATATTGAAATTTTGGGTATGGTTTGTGCAGATATGTTGAAGGGTTCTTACTATGCTAATCCTCTACAAGATGTACCGACGAGTAATTCATATGAAATACAGCGGTAAGTAACACCAATACCATAGTTTTATGTTTGTAAAGTCTTTGGCTTATGTAGTAATCTGGGAAATGTGTTGAAATATTGACTGCCCGACTGAACTCCTGTCTTTACCAGATACTCTAGTGTAGGTTACTTCGTATTCGGTGTTATGTTTAAATGTGTTCTGGTCTGCATTAAGTGCAACAGACTGCTTCTGTTCTATAAATTCGTTAATTTATCTTCATATGTTTTCATGATGTAGGTATCCATCATATTGTGGATCAAACATATGGCCAAGGAATTCTTTACCGGAACTTGAAGGAGGTAGGTAACTAGGTGATTCTTGCTTTACTTTTTGATGTCGTTAGTTTTTTTAGTCGGATATAATTTGTTGGTGTCTCACCTTTGAGAATGAATACAATGATCGCATGACTTTGTACTTAAAAGTGCCATAGAATTTGACAATTTCTGGTATCTGCTTGCCTTTGCAACCTTAGCTTGTTTCTAGTGATGCTCTCTAATTTACATTTTTTACTCAAGTTTATTATTTTCCTCCTCATAACTGATTATTACTTTTATACATTACAGCTTTCAAAGCTCTTGGTAAACTGATGTTCGAAGTTGGACTGATGGTAGCTTACCACTGTGATCAATATGGTAAGTAATTTCGTCGGTGTTAGTGAATTTATCTTGGAACATCCTTGAATAGATGTCCTTAAGATGCTTGCAAAGATATTTGCAGGGATACTATGTGGCTGTATCTGTAGAGTAGCCTAATTCACTTCTTACTCTTAAAATGATGAATAGTTTAGTTTTCTTACTCTCTGAAACCAGTCTCTTTGTTCGATGCTGGCATGGTCTGTGGAATTTGCATCACTGATGAAGTGTATCAACATGAATTTGGCGTTTACTGTTTCTCACTTTTTATTCTCTTCGATCGGACACAAAATGTCATGGTGCTAGACATTTTCATGGTTACGTCATTGTCTATTTTCTAAAGCCCTTTACAATCCATGATTTGCAGTGTCAAAGGGTATAAAACAACATGAAAAGCAAAATCTTGAAAAGATACTACTTGACTCTCGGTGTCACAAAGGACGTCTGCTTTATTATTTTCCTGCTCAGGATAGGTAAGTTCACAAGCTCTTACTCTGTTGATTTAGTTTTGTAGTTCAGTCCCTAGCGGTTAATACTTGTTGAACACATGTTATATATGCCTCTTTAAAAGTAGAGCTTTCATTTGGGCGATTTCATTGTCTGATATATTGACATGTTGTCTTCCATTCAGTACTATGCATGACAACGATTCCATCTCATCTTGGTGTGGATGGCATACGGACCATGGTTCACTCACAGGTGTCCGATTTTCTTCTCTCTTGCTTTCCTCAGTTGTTAATGTTCACTTAAGTTTAGTTGACTCCTTTTTGTTTTGAAAACGGTTTAGTAGATATATACCACGCATCTTCCTCTCTGTATAGATGATATGCAGAAATATTTAGTGTTTGTGATATGATGGTTATGTGTATCTTTGTATGAATATCCACAGGTCTTACTCGTGCAATATTTTCTAGAGATTCAGTTGAAGTACCTTGCCCAGATCCTGCTTCTGGCTTATACATACAAACACGATCGGGTCAGATCGTTAAGGTACAGTACTGGTCCTTCCTGATGACTCTGCATAGTTTAAGATAGCCTATTTGATATCTAACGCCGAAACCAAATTTATTCTTTGTCCAGTCTGCTTTGTTTATGTGTTATGAGTAATTTTTTAAGAATTGCTTCCTTTGCATTTGACTAGGTTGTGTACGGGGAAGATGAAATAGCATACCAAATAGGCGAGACAACAGCAATTCTGTCAAGTGGTTATCTTTGTGCTACACCTCATTGTGTTCGGGTAATTATTCTTCGTGCCTTTGCGGATGGTTACATTCTATTGTATCAATTTTCGGAACTCTACACCAACACAACCCATAATTTCCTTGTTTTGGTGGTCAGGCGCCACAAGGAGAAGAGGCTCGTGGTCTAGAGCGATCAACATTCGCATTGTTCATGCAACCTGACTGGTATCTATTCTTTACTAAAGATAACTTTTGATTGATTTTAACAATGAAAGATTTGTGACGTTTTTCTCGTTATACAAAAATTAATAACAAAAAAATGTGAATGTGATGTTTTAGGGATCAGAAGCTTACATTCCCAAAGGAAGTTACAATACATGAAGAGTTATCTCTCTCTAATGAAGTCTTGACGTTTGGTGAATATACAGAGAAACTGCTCAACAAATACTACGATTCAAAACCTTAGAAGCCTTTTAAGTCGCGGCGTAAATGACAGTTCCATTGGTGTAAGAAAAATCTCACAAAATTAGTACGTTAGAAGTGAAATTTGATTTGCATACAGTGTATGGTACTAGTTTAAACTTTAAACCATATAGAAAGTACAATAATTGGTTTGGATTCTGTTCCATGTACATTACCATTAATTTGGTTCAATGTTATGGGAGAACATACAAAAACTACAATGAATATAATCCAGGGGAAAAAAACAAAGAACGCATCAAGCCAATTTTTTTTTTTTTTTTTTGGTCATTGTTTTAACTTTTAAGTGATTCAGAGATAGCTTTAAAGTGATTTAGTGATAGCTCTGATTTCACCAAATCATCAACCATTTTCAAAATTATTTTGACTGAAAATTAAATAAAATACTTACGAACCAAAAATCATTAAACCACATAACAGTCGTGTAATTAGATCCTAAAATTTTATTGTATTTAACTGAATTTATTTCATGCAAATAAGAGTTTATAACTTTTTTTCTAAACACTAAATCTATAATTACTTAATGTCATACTTATATCTGCCTAATACACGATGTATATGAATACTAAATATCTAAACGTATAACCGATCAACATGTTGTCTAGTAATCTATGTTTTTATCATCATTATATCACAACTAATATTCAAATCCGAGATAAAATAGTTTAGCAAAAAAAATCCGAGATAAACAAATCACAATCGGTTGGCTCTTTGCTTCTCCGAATACTAGTTTGGTATTAATTTGGGTCGGTTATGTGGTTTGGAATCCGGTTTAGTGGATAGGTTCTTTTGTAGTCAAATGGAGACGTCGCTTTCGAGTCCTCGTGGACGAATGGATAAGGTAGGACAAAAATTTGTACTACGTTCAGACATTACAATACTTAAGACCGACGTGGCAAGTGGCAAATATCTCTCACTACACGGCTACACGCTTTGAAGTTTGAACTCTCTAGTGGCCTTTGGCAATTCCTAGTAGTTTTTTGTTAGAATCTTTTCTAGTTCTATTTTTATCACTTCGCTTAGAAGGAAACCATAATCATAAATATGAAGAAAAAACACTGAATTTTCAAAAAAAAAAAAAACACTGAATATGTCTCTTGTGATATTATTTTCTGGAAGATCTAATGCATGCACTGATGGAGAAAAAGTAGAGAGTGACATTGATGGAGCAAAATTAAATAGGAAAAGACAATTGTTATACGTATATTAATATGGTCCAAAGTCTGCGCTCCATAAGGTAGAAGAGTCAAATAAGTATGTAACGATCGATTTGATTCTAGATCTTTTTATACATAAGATTGGATCCACTAGATTTGCGTCAAGTACTTCTCATCTTCTCTTTAATTATTATATAGAATAATATTCATTCGATTCGTCAAATTATATAATATTACTAATTAGATGTTTGATGAAAACTATACTAGCATGTTTTGATAATAAATATCAAATATCATTATTTTTTCAGTCAATGTAAATGTTTTAGAATTTCCAAATGTATAAATATATACTTGGTATTATTCGTGAAAATATTGAATAAAATCCAATCCAATTAATAAATTCAACTAATAATACCAAGTATATTTTTATACATTTGGAAATTCTTAAATTTGTAATTTGACTAAAATAAAAATGTTTGGTATTAAACATGCTAGTATTTTTTTTTAACACGTTTTTAGAGAAACCTTTAAACATGCTAGTATAGTGTCATCAAAGATATAATTACTAATTTACATAAATACGAGAAAATGAGATTTAGAATTAGAAATTTGCATCGTTAGGCATCTAACGATACAAGGCTCGGTGTTTAGACATTTTTCTCAACATTTACAATTATATACATGAGGAAATTGGCTCTGCCTCATCACTCTATACTCTCTATCCTTTCTCTCTGCAGTTTTGTGTGTGTGTGTGTGTGTTAAAATTGTAACAAAAAAAAAAAAGACAAATCAACTTGAAATTTTGTGTCAAAAAAGAAGGGCAATAACGTCATAAACAATTAATAAAAAAACGTGTTGGATAAAGAAAAGGATGAAGATTCGTAGAAAGTGGAAAAAAAGAATCTAGAAGAAGAAACAAACAACAAAAGCGTAGCCGTAGGACCACGTAGCAGCCGCGTCCGACTTCACACGCTCTCTTCTATAAATACTCTCACGTCAGTTTTCTTTCATCCTCAATTCTAATTCCTTCTTTTTCACATCTACCCAAAATTCCAAAACACCATCGATTTTGCTCTCTTGAACTTGTCCTTTTATGTCCAATCCTTCTCTTCCAACTAAACCGAACCGGAAAACCAGCTTCGGAGATCGGTGTTTACTGATGGCTAAGCAACAACGAACTCGGCTTTATATCCTACGACGATGTGTCTCAATGCTACTTTGCTGGCACGACCACTCTATTTCTGATTAGTTTGTGGTTTTGGTCGGAATCATGACTCGGACTGACCAAGAAGTAGAAATCAGAAGAATGTCTTGTGATTTAGATTTTTTTTTTTTTTTTTTTAAGTTTTATGGTTTTACTTTTAGAACTCATCAGGGAATCTTTTGTAATTGAGGAAGATTCTAAGGATTAGGCCTTTTGGGCCTTTGTACTTACTGTGAATAACATTTGAACTCCTTTTTTTTGTACTCAATGCCCAATTGCATATGTCATCGTGCTACTACTAGCTAGTGATGTTTTTTCTTAGTAAAATATTCAAAATTTTGGTATCAATCTAACATTGTTAACAAACGAAGTAGGATTTGAGAGTCCCAGCATTTAGGGATTGATATAAGATTTCGTCAATTGGTTAAAGATGATGCATTCCATCCAATGGAACTTGCCTATTATTCGTCATTTGCCGGTTAAGGAACGTATTATAAGGCTGAGTACACTAAGCTTGTATCGGTTGACTACACTAAGCTGTTGGTAAGAAGCTTGAGGTTTGTGCTATAAAAGCAGATATCTCTATATCTCAAAAGATATATTATTTGAGCTAACCACACATCGCATCGTAAGCCAGCTGTTTTCTCTGTTTTCTTTTTCCTGTTTCGTGGGCCTTTTGATCCGTTTGTAACCCATTTCCGTCAAGCCCACTAGGGTTAATAATATTTATTTACTTAAAAGAAAAAACTAGGAATCGATTCAATCTGATTCAATGACCCAAAATATCTTTCAGTTAATCTACGATTGAAATATAGAAAATTACAGAATTTCATACAAATTGGATCACTAAAAATATATGATATGATCCAAATATTTTTAAAGTTTCTCTTGTAAATGCCACTGATACTCAAAACTCAAAAGTCCTATTAAGAAAGGTCCATAATCCCATAGCAAAATAAAAATATTGTATATTTCAACTTAGTTCGAAAAATAGAGTATACAATAAGTGCATTTCCAATATAACATAGATTTATCGGTTAAAGAAAAGCTTAAGAAGATAATAGAACATAAGTACAACAATAAAAGAATAAAGACAGAAAATAAGCAAAAGACATGATTGCAATCATGTTACATGTTACAAAGCCATTCAAGAATCAATGAGAAGGTGTCTAGTAGACGTATGGTGGTGGTGGAGACTTGTATAACATATTTGGAGAAGGAGAATAGTATGGTGGAGGTGGTGGAGAGTTATAAACGTATGGTGGCGGTGGAGATTTGTATTCTACCTTAGGAGAAGTGGAGTAGTATGGTAGAGGTGGTGGCGAGCTGTATATGTATGGTAGTGATGGAGACTTGTAGTCTACCTTAGGAGAAGGGGAGTAGTACGCTGGAGGTGGTGGCAAGCTGTATACGGATGGTGGTGGTGGAGAATTGTAGTCTACCTTTGGAGATGGAGAGTAATATGGTGGAGGTGGTGGAGAGTTGTATACATATGGAGGTGGAGGTGAGTTGTATACGTATGGTGGTGGTGGAGACTTATAGTCTACCTTTGGTGAAGGAGAGTTGTATGGTGGAGGTGGTGGAGAGTTATAAACGTATGGTGGTGGTGAATTGTATACGTATGGTGGTGGTGGAGACTTATAGTCTACCTTTGGTGAAGGAGAGTAGTATGGTGGAGGTGTTGGGAAGTTGTAAACGTATGGTGGAGGTGGAGACTTGTAGTCAACTTTAGGAGAAAGAGGGTAGTATGGTGGAGAGTTGTAGACATATGGTGGTGGTGGAGACTTGTAGTCTACCTTAGGAGAAGGAGAGTAGTATGGTGCAAGTGGTGGAGAGTTGTAAACGTATGGTGGAGGTGGAGACTTGTAGTCAACTTTAGGAGAAGGAGAGTAGTATGGTGGAGAGTTGTAGACGTATGGTGGTGGTGGAGACTTGTAGTCTACCTTAGGAGAGGGGGAATAGTACGGTGGAGGTGGTGGAGAGCTGTATACGTATGATGGTGGTGGAGACTTGTAGTCTACTTTAGGAGAAGGGGAGTAGTACGGTGGAGGTGATGGCGAGCTGTATATGTATGGTGGTGGTGGAGACTTGTAGTCTACCTTAGGAGAAGGGGAGTAGTACGCTGGAGGTGGTGGCGAGCTGTATACGGATGGTGGTGGTGGAGACTTGTAGTCTACCTTTGGAGATGGAGAGTAATATGGTGGAGGTGGTGGAGAGTTGTATACATATGGAGGTGGAGGTGAGTTGTATACGTATGGTGGTGGTGGAGACTTATAGTCTACCTTCGGTGAAGGAGAGTTGTATGGTGGAGGTGGTGGAGAGTTGTAAACGTATGATGGTGGTGGTGAATTGTATACGTATGGTGGTGGTGGAGACTTGTTGTCTACCTTAGGAGAAAGAGAGTAGTATGGTGCAGGTGGTGGGGAGTTGTACACGTATGGTGGAGGTGGAGACTTGTAGTCAACTTTAGGAGAAGGAGAGTAGTATGGTGGAGATTTGTAGACATATGGTGGTGGTGGAGACTTGTGGTCTACTTTAGGAGAAGGGGAATAGTACGGTGGAGGTGGTGAAGAGCTGTATACGTATGGTGGTGGTGGAGACTTATAGTCTACTTTAGGAGAAGGGGAGTAGTACGGTGGAGGTGGTGGCGAACTGTATACGTATGGTGGTGGTGGAGACTTGTAGTT